GTAGGGACGTTATGGCACAGGGGTGCACCACGCAACATACGTGCTGCATCCGGAGAAACACCACAAAGGAGAATGTGCTGACAGACACAAAACAACGGCTGTACAGATTGCCGCCGGTGCTTTTGTGTTTGGGAGTAGGGGGGGAGGAAAATATGTCCTGGTGAGAAAGGGGGATGGAGCTTCTCGTGTAGAGGGGGGGGGGGATTTCTCCACGCTGCATACCGACCCATCCTCCTTCGTCACACTAACGATTAAGGTCATTGCACTTGTAATGGCCCCTGTGTGTTTATGTTTGACTAAAGTACAGTTTTAGCTCTTCCTGCTTCCTTTTCATGATTATCCACACGAGTGGGGCCCAGCTCTTGTCTATTGGACCCTGAGAACTGATTTAATTATTTTCTATTCTTTATTCCTTTTAATTAATTCACTTGGTATATAGAGTCTGAATCAGTCCTTATGATAAAGCCAGAGAAGTGGACGTGGGCGATTCCTTCTACTTCAACCTTTATTCATTATTAGCAGTAGAAAGTTACTCATATATTTGATCAATATGTACTCGTATTTTTTAAAAGAACAATACCCTAATGCAGGAATACCTTCTTTATTTTATTTAATACAGTTCAAGCATTGAAATAAAATAAAAAATGAAAGTAAAAGCAATAAATACTTACTGACTTTGCAGAATAGCTAATTTAACAATAATGTATGTACATTTGTAGTATGACTATTAAAGCCTACATTTGTATATCACTTTACTATTGCAGCTTTGAAATGTGTGGCCAGTCTACTAATCTTAATGTATTTATTTATACATTTTCTTTATATTACTTTACAAACAGCTGGGTTGCAGGTGATTTTCCAGCTCAGGATCAGTAAAGCTTTATTCATAGAATATCATTATTTATTTGTTGACTGTATTTTAAATCTTAATCCAAATAGTTAAAAGCAGCTGTTATCGAATAAATGTGTGGTCTAAATATAACAAGAAAATGCTAATGCTGAATTGTCATAGAGCATGAATCTTCTCACGATCATCCTTAATTTCCCCCTTAGGGCCACATCTCACCTGGCCTTTTGGTAGATCAGCTGTCCACCCCCACATCCTGGTGAATCACAGCATACTCATTAGTGCAGTATATTCTGTGACACTCTTAGTGCCACCACCTCCAGTGTTGTTTTGAGACGAGTCTCCACGGGGAATCCCAGATGCAAATGACTTACCAGAGCATTGATCTTATGCACCAGCAAAAGGGCGTGTTCAACAGTGTTGCAGTGTTTAGAGAACATTTACCATGTTGTTGCATGTTTGTTATTGTGCAGAACAGGATTGAGAGTGTAGAATAGCAACAGGAAATGTTATGAGCAGGTAACACTGCAGCTGTATTTGCAGTAGTGTCCTTGCTGCTGTATTGCAGTGACCAAGCTTGTTGTGGATAAGTAAAGCAAGAGTCAAGATGTCTTTCATGGCACTGATTGGTGGTTGATATCTGCGTCAAAGCCAATGTGACTCTCCTTCCGCTCAGCTCCACAATAATACAGGATGCTTGCTTGGATTATTGGTTATCCCAGTGTCTGCCGCACTGTTCCCTGACCCAGCCCCACCCCCTCCAGCACCCTGTGGCCTGTAGATTGCACTTTAAAGCCCGTCTGTTCCTCCCCAGGCTGCCAGAGCTTTCCCAGTCCTTGTTGTCCCTCTTTTTACTCCTCCCCTTCTCCCTCCCCCGATCTAGGCCGTAGCCCTTTCCCAACTTCCTCCATCCTGTAGTTGATCTGAAAATTGAAAACAGAGACGGGTGTGGAGAGGAGAAAGCGCAGAGGAGTGCAAGGTCTATCTTTGTCTGCCATCTGACTCTGTTTTTTCTTCATTGTTCAGCCACGGTCAATGCAGCCTGTATTTTTGATGAAACAGCGCCCTCTGTGGTGGCTGCCGCACGGTGCAAGAGCAGACATTTTCCTCTCATGTCTGCCTTTGAAATGCCCATTCTGTGTGTCATACTGGTAAAATGGAGTACTCTGCTCTCAGCTGGCACTCATGGTTTGCCATTAAGCAACTCAGGGCGAGGAAAATCCCAATTCTTATGTTTCTCCCTCGCTTCTGAAGAATCCCTCGTCATGTTGTTTTTTGATTAGGAGGATTTTCCAGGGTGCCTGCAGTTGCCATTGCTGGGAGCTTAGTGTAATGCTGATTCACTGACCTCTGCAGTCTGACTGGGGAAATGCTCTTGAGGCTCACTGAATAACATGCTCTAAATGATCTAATTATGACTCATTGATATTTCAATGTATTATGTTTTAGGATGATTCATGACAGAACAGACGTTTACCATACATGCCCTTACTCTACCGACAACCTAGAAATGGAAAATAAATAGATTTGAATGATTGAAATTGGGGATGCGACTTGGGCTGGGCAGTATTGCCATAATCTTGTATTCTGATAATCATATCTTCATTATATCCCCATTATAATATACCAGATGGTAATTCAATAAAATAGTCTTTATGATAATCACATGGTTAAGCCAATCTTTCTATACTACCGTAATTTTCGGACTATAAGCCGCGCCTTTTTCCCTATTTTTCGACGCTGCGGCTTATATAACGGTGCGGCTAATCTATGGATTTTTACAGCTAACGGCCAACACCTTTAACTCTATGGGCTCTATGGCCGGTCCGCGGACCCCCACCTTTAAGCGGCGGGTTCCAGCAGAAAAGCTGGGGGCCGGAAAAGAGTGAGACAGGTAGCGCGCAAAAGTAAAAGTGGAACCGAGAGTGGTATGCCGCTGCTCCGGCTTATATTCAGGTGCGGCTTATAGTCCAAAAATTACGGTAGTATGAATTAAATACTTGACAAACAAAAAATAAAGAGTATTTTTCATTAATTGAGAACTGAAGTGCACAATTACATTGAAAGACATTCATTATGAAACTGAATCATCACCCAGCCCAACATTCAACTAATGGTTCTTGTCATTACCATTTAATTTGATTATTTTTTTCTAAAATTGTCCATCCCAGATCCAAGGTGAAGTCTTCAAATGTCTTGTTTTATCAGACCAACAGTTTATAAGACAATGATAGTTCTTCAGCTGTTGTGTTTTTAAGCATTTCAATCAATTTAACAATCTGTTTGTCTCTGCAGCGTTTTTAAGGAGGATAGGCTTTTTGTCGCAAACTTTAATCCAAAATCTCATCTGTTTGCGTTTTCTATAATAAGCGCTCACACCCTCTTCTTGTCCCTCAGATGGAAGCGGGCGGAAAGCCGCTACACGGTGGAGAGAGCAGCCATCATCAGCCACTGGAACTGGCTCCAGGCCCACATCTCAGACCTGGAGTACCGCATCCGACAGCAGACCGACATCTACAGACAGATCCGCGCCAGCAAGGTCAGTACAGCTTTGTCTTTTGGCGGCTAATAAATAATAGAATATGCAATGGTTTATGTGCGGAAAAACAGTGTTACTATAAATATGCTCCACATGTACATCCTTCTACAGGGCTCAGTGGAGCTGGGAGGACTTTCCTCCAGTGGAGTACCTGCGGGGGGGACAGAAGTCAAGACGGAGCCTGTAAATACTCCGGTGAGTGTGATGGGGGAACCTTAACAGGAGGTTGTGTTCCTTTACAGCGCAGTTAGCCATATTCTCTCTCCTGGGGCTACACCAAATGATTAGTCTCTTAGCATACTTGTCATTTAAGATAAATCTGGCTCGAATATGCATTTTCTCTTGTTGATTATTAAGCATTTTGTTATACACCCTGGCAAACAGTTTAATCGGGATCTAGTGCAGTTTATTAGGATTATTCAGGCAGAAATACCTTACAAGCTTTTCTTATTTTAAATGGTTGTGCTGTTGTATTGCCTTTTTTTTTTTAATTGCAACGCCATTGGAACACCCATAGAGAAAACACTGTTAAAGGTAATGTGCAATGAATGATATGTTTCTTGGAACAACAGTAAAAAAAAAAAACCTTTTTAAATATTCTTCAAAATGCTGTTTGAATACAATTCAAGTCAACCATTGAAGTGTGAACTATAATAATGATGCTTGTTGCCACTGAAATGACATTAGTCAGTTTTCAATTAGTGAAGGTTCTCAGCAAGTGTTTAATTAAACTACCATTCATTCAGCACTTTCAAATTCTAAGCACTGGATGTTTTATTAGAAGTTGAAAGGGGCTGTTTTTTATTTATTTAAAGACACATGATAATCGTTAAAGCATTCAACATGTTTTGGTCAATCAAAGCACCTGCAGGAAATGAAGTGTGAAATGCTCACAGGAAATTATTTCTTTTTATTTGTCCCTCTGGCAGGAAATAAATTGCAGCTTTTGTATAATAAGCACCTTCGACCCTAACACCATTTAAAGCAAAACAATTGAGAAATGTTGTATTACAGGATGAGCCTGTTTCTCTGTATATGTTAACGCTTTTTATTCAAATGTTTGTTAAGCTACTGCGGGTGTGGCCTCTAAACTGTTTTGATTAAACATACAGTCTGTTTTCACTTTAACCTTCAAGGATTGTCTGTTTTTGCTTACTGTCAAATCATCTGCTTTAACAACAGTATGTCATTTGGAAAAATTAGAAACAATCAGGTGTGGAATTTTTTGGAAAAGTTTGATTGAAAGAATGAATTAGTGTGAATTAGTAGCTCTGGGCCATTCATGTTGATGACGGTGCAGAAAAGGGTTTTAAGTTATGTGAGAGCCAAGCCCTTTTCACAAATCCAGAATAAATCATTCAAGGCTACACGACTGGGATGATTCAGTCGTTTCCTTAAATATCCCGGCTGTGCTTAAGTGCTGCTGGTCTGCCTGTGCTGCTGAGGTGTCGTCTCACTGCCTCTGTCTTATCTGTCCTCGCAGGATGTTGGTTCAGAACGGCTGGAGCACACAGGCTCCGCCCACATCCCCAACACAGAGGCCGGCCCGTGGAAAGGTCAAAGCTCGCAGCCCGTTAACGGCGTCCTCAGCAGGTACAGCTGATGATAATACTACTGATGAACTCCTTTCTGCTTCAAAGGAAATCTGCTCTGAGAAACACTTCTGAGAAATCTCTAATTAAGGATTTTAGCAGTTTCTAATGATGAGATGCTGATGTCTTTTCTTCACATATGGAAGTCAAATGAATGTATTTGACTGGTTGTTGAAAAGAATGAACAAAGATGTTGGAAATATTATACTATTTTTTTTACATTTCATAAACAAAACAATTATAAATAAACAAAAACATAAGAAGATATTGGCGTCCTTTTCATCTGCAATTTAATCAACGTTTATGCTTTTGAAAAACACAAAAATGGATTTATGCTAATGTGTGAATGAACTCAGTTGTCACTTCAGATCAAATGTGTAAGATCTTTGGCCTAATTCCCCTCCGTGTGTTGTCTTGGTTCAGGATGGCAGAGAGTGCGGACACCAAGCCGCCGTCAGCCTACGACAGCTCGTGTGTGGCTGCGCGTACACGACCGCTCGTCAGCTGCCGGAGACGGAGGCTCATTCAGCCCAACACGGTGCCCAACCTCAACGGCAAGGTGAGCCCACCGCCTGTTTGCATGCTTACATACAAGGATTACTAAATGGGATTAATTTGACTCGTATTGCAATCGTGGCGTGATTTGCAATATCGGAGGGAATTCATTTTGGAAACATGACTCACTTAATCATTGAAAAACATCATGATGTGATTAAGAGAATATTTACCAAACAATGAGATTCTAGGCTCAAGACTTAAAGAGCATCTTGCAGGGTTTTTTTTCTCCCCTAAATTTATGCCTAAACTTGCTTGAAAATTACAATTAAAAAAGTGAATGTAGGATTTGATATGTTTTACGAGACATAAGGGCAGGAATTCAGAGGGAAAGGAGCAATTTTGAGCCCTGCTCTTAAAAACGGCTTTTTTTTAAGGTCATACGTCAAACGCGTCATATTACATCACACAGGGGACACATCTCCGCTCTCTGACCGCGGGTATAATAGAGTTGCGTTGAATAGAGCGCTTGTGTTTTAAGGAGCTGGTATTTTTCGGTAGTTTTACATTCTACTTCACCATTTGTAATCATGGTGCAGTATTGTGTTTGTGCAGGTTGCACAAATACCAGCCTGTCAGGACATCGAGTCCACAGTAAAAAGGACCGGAGCTAGCGTTCGTTCCTGGGTGCGTTGTGCATCCACCTCCCTGCAGCACATACTCTCCACAGCTTTATCAGGAAACCGTATTACTTCTCTCTCCCCCCCCTTCGCTGCTCTCTCTCTCTCCCCTCCGGTACACGGCACCGTAAGACATAGTGTGGAGTTGCATTAGGTAACGCTGTGGTGGCTGTACTGCTCCAGCCGTCTCCTTTGTGTTTGTTTGTTTCCCCCTGTCTGTGTTGTTTGTGTGTGCGTGGTGGCTGTCACTCCTGGCTCCCGGCTCAACCTCCACTCACCTGCTGCAATCAGCTGTGCACCCTCCCCGACTACACACCTGCTTTCCATCAAGCCATTTACAACGGCATATCAACGGAGGCTCCACAACCTTTCTCCGCCAGATCGTCAAGTATCAGCCATATCTCGCGTCTCTTCTCCGGTACACAGCACCGTAGTGTGGAGTTGCATTAGGTAACGCGAGATACGGCTGATACTTGCGCATTAGTTTCTGTTATGGATCAGTATCAACAGTCCTGCCAGTAACGTTACTATATTATCAATGCTACTTTAGTTATAGCCTGATAGCTAACTTCACAATGTTGTGATGTGACGTTAGCTAACATTCTGTAGCTAACGCCGGTCACTCACCAAGATAGCTGCTCAGTTCTCCACTGGTTCTCCTCACACCACAGCTCAATTTCTCTCCGATGGCCGTTATTTCTTCTAATCCTTGGCTGCTCCTGGTCTCGCCTGGACGCCTAGCAGGCTCATAATTATAAGGTTGTGGTCCGTCATATGCACTTGAATATCCATGTTCAACTTCTTCTGTGTCAAAACTAGCATTGGGATCCATGTTTATTAATACGTTACACCGGCCGCTCTCCCCCTTGTTTCCCCCATGTTACGTCACACGCTGGAGGTCACGTTCCGAGGCTTTTTTATGCGGAAGTGAACATTTCTTACAAAAACGACGCCAGATGTCACTTTAGTGTATATTTCTGTATATTTTTTTGAAAATCTAGTGTATTCATCATTTTCCTACACATTTATTCACAGGTGTCTTTAACCTGGAAGTTGCTCTTTAATACTTCATTCAAAATGGTATTTTCAATTACTTTACCAAATATTGCGCTTTCTGCAATTGGGTTTTCCACATTGCCATTTTGAACATTTTCAGATCAATTGTGCTCCCCTAAAGGCCTGCGTAACTTTTGGATAGATTCAGTGCTTGAAGCAAGTTCCTCGCCCTTAGATTGCGCAATGCTTTCACCCTAAAGAAACTGAGGAGATGTGTTTTTATAAATAGGATTGTTACTAAAATTGATGGGAAGACGTTAAATATTTAGTTTTCTGAGAGGAATGAAGTGGGCTTTTATTCTCGTGCGTTCTGCACTCACTGATTAGTTCCTTGGTTTGTAACCCAATAGCCGCGTAAACAAGAGCCGGCTGACTTATTTATGAAAAAACTAGGCCAAACAACAAAGAAGGGAAATAACCCTTGTGACGACTCACAAGTTTTAGATGATGAAAAAAGAAACATGGGCCGATTGTTCATAGTTTTCCCCGGAACAAAAACGGGTCCTGGAGTTCTGTGGGACATTAAGTCAGGAAATGTGTTAAAGTACAAATGTCTTGTGTGTGCTGATTGCTTACATCTTCCATTTCTACAGTAAGAAGTGCAATCACATTGTTCCAGTTATAGTCATTCATAGTTTTAGGACAGGAAATCTTAGACTAGTCTGCGTGTTAGTACCAAGTAGAGAACTAAAATTAGAACCATTTCTTGTAAATACAACTACTCTGTCACCATGACGCTAATGGCTCCTGTAGTGTTTCATATTTTTGGATGCGTTTGTTTATTCAATTTGCACTCTAAATACCAAAAAGAGAGCGTTGTTGTTCGAGTTAACAGAGTGTCCTATTTCTAAATTGATTATTGAACAAGTTAGTTTGAAAGAATAATTCCTACTTAGATGTATATTACAACAAATGTGGTGCCTTGCTTATCATTGAGGACGATGATGTAAGAGACAACTATGATGAGACCCTATAGCTCATAGACTACAACAAAATCCCTACTTTTTTTAGGATTTAGAAAAATGTAAGCTAGTCAGCCAGCTACATGTTTTGTTAAAAAGTAATTCTGCTGCTCTTAATATCCAAACTGTATATTCCAACAGTGCTCCTAGTTTAGGAACGGTCCAAATTGTGCACTCCAGAGCTTGGAGTGACTATTTATGAAAGAATACTTAAATACGTGTCTCACTGAAAAATAAGTACTTAAAAATTATGTGTTTAAGGTACAATGAGTAGGATTTCCTTAGGAACAATACATATAATCTCTCAACCATCACTTATGACCCAACAGAAGTGTGTATCTGCATAGGCCATTGCCAGCTTTCAGTGTTGTGTATACAAACTGTAAATCTCAAATCCTACTCGTCATACCTAAAGTTGAATCATGAGTGTTTACAGTTGAGCGTGACATGGTCTGCGACATGGTTTCCAGGCGCAGAAAAGCAGCTGTGTCCAGTGTAGCTGCAGGGTAAACCCCAGCAGCTGTGCGATGTGTGGTGGCTGGCCCACCCCCAGAGAGGACCCTCAGTACGAGCAGCCCACACTGGAGCGCCTGTCGAGACTGGATCTTGGCGTCCACCCCATCCTCTCCTTCCCTGACGGTCAGTGCCGGGCTCCTCGCCTCGAAAGAGTTTACGCTGTCATTTCCTTCTTTACATCTCGAGGGGAAGACAAACAAGGAGTGGCCGTAGAGAGACTTCTCCTCAGGAAGTGCCTAGAAAAGACTACATTTCCTAAAAAATGCCACATACCCCCTTATAATTGTTGTATTCTCAGAACTGTATCTTGACTACCAGAAGAAACTCGTCTTCCCTACATCAATCTGAATTTATACAAATCAAAGCTTCCATGTCATTATTAAGGAATTTGTTGGGGTTTGCCTTGTTGATAAATAATTGAGACAAAGTTGATTTGCAACCATCACACAATAGTGTATTTGGCATTAGCTCATAGTAGATTGCCTGTGGTTAAATATAAATGTTGCACGCCTTTTGTGAATTGCTAATGTTGAACTACAGATGGTAAATCTGAAGTATCCACTGAAAACTCAGTATATACTTAAATCTCTTCTGCTTACCTGTCCCTCAGACGTGTGTATAGGCCTACGTCTGCAGCAGGTGATGAAGAGCCAGTGGCAGACCAAGTCGCTGGAGAGGAGCAAACCACTGAAGAAGCTCTCCCTCAAACACAAGCTGTCCTCGTCCAAAGAGAAGCACAAGTTCACCAACTCACTCATGGCAGTCAGTAAGTACAAATAGGTTCTCTCATATCCCTTTTTGAAATTAAACAACCTAAATATAAGAGCCAATTGTTTAAGATTTAATGATAAAACAATAACTGGATTTTTAATTTCTTAAAGAAACCGACACATATTTAACCACAATAAGAACTTTAGGGATCCCTTTAAAACCCCATAATATCTAACATGTACTTGGCTTTAAGAGCCAGACATGTTTTATTTAAATAAAGTGTCGTATTAAAATAAATGATTTAAAAAATCAGTTATGGAGACAATATCTATCGCCATAAAATTGAAATTCTCCAAACTCGAATCATTATGATGAAATGTTCTTTCTTCCACAATAACAGTCAATTGTAGCTTGTTTATCTTTTATTCCAGCTGTTTTATTCCACAATGGCATTTTTCCCAGTAACAATTTCACAATACCACATGGCAGAGGCAGCTATGTGATTGGCTGCTGATTTTTTAGCCCAGCTCCAGTAGTATCAATGTTGTTACAGGTCTGCTGTAGCTTTATTTGCATTTTCTTTTGTAGTATCTCATTAATCTGGGGCCTCAGGTCTGCTCTGTCTAACGATGATGTGTGCTGTCTGCTGGTGTTGCAGGACTCGGCCACTATAAGAACCGTGCTGAGAAGCTGAGGCCGGTGGACAGCAGTGGGGGGGGTAGCAGCAGCAGCGCGGTGCTGAACGCAGCCCGGCTCGAGGGCCAGGCGGTGTACAAGGCGGAGCGTCTGCACGGCCTCTCCAGCCCACACTTAGTGCCCTACGACAAGAACTACAGCCGGAAGAGATTAAGAGAGCACTCTCTGGACCGGACCGACAGTGAGTCTCCAACAGATGAACTGTCTAACACTATTATATCAGTGGCATTAATCAATTGAAGTAGGGCTGTACCAAATGACTTTTTTACATCCTAAGCTTCTATTCAGGGTTCGTATGAAGCTCTACTCTCTGACGTCATATTTTATCAGGTTTAAACCCTAAACCAAATTAAAAAGTTGAGTCCTTAATTTTAACAAAGTGATACATCGAATTAAATGAATTTGTCTTTTTTGTACTTAATCAACTTTCTTTAATGAATATGACTCACCAGATCATTAATAAGCACATCAATGACCTTTCCCAAATAGAAATGCAGTTACATAATGAGACTTTTACAAGTGCTCAAAGCGCTTTACATGACATATTACTAGGGATGTAACGATATATCGAATATCGCGGTAAATAAATGTCTCAATACCGTCGTGAGACTGACAAAATATACCGCAATTTTTTTAAATAATTCTTCTTTTTAAAAAAAAAAACCTTTATTCAACCAGATGTTCCCATTGAGATCATCAATCTCTTTTTCAAGGGAGACCTGTCCAACATGGCAGCAAGTAGGTTACAACATGAACATAAAACAACAGATAACACAAAAGGACATCGTATTTACAGGGCTACATGTACATACCTAGAGACATTGACAAGTACCAACAGTATATTTATATCTCGCCCTGTCAATAAGCCTCACCCTCTTGGCAAAAACTGTATTGTTTTTGAAGTGGTGGAGAGACATAGTTTGACCCACTGCTGTCCACCCATGGCCAAAGCATATCTCTCTGTCCCAGCAAGAGAGTTGTTTCCACAGCCAGCGGGATATTGCAAACGCCCAAACATCCCAGCTTCTACCTGGAAATGTGGAACATGTCATATCCTAAAAGATGTAACCTTTGGATGATGCTGAGTGAGTGAGTTAGGAGTTTGAGTTACTGAAAAACTAAAGTGAAACTTGATTTATTCTATTGCTAGGGTCAGATTGTTATATTGTTTGACATTTAAAATACTACTTATCCTACTTAAATGCTGTACCAAATCAGATTATTTTTAATAAAAGAAAAAAAAAATCATTTTCAACATTTTTCCCCCTCTATTTTTCAATATCGGTGATAAATATCGTACCGTGAACTTTCTAACGCGATGATTATCGTAACGTGAGTTTTTGGTATTGTTACATCCAATACATATTACACATTAGGGTGAAGTGCCTTGCCCAAGGACACAACGGCATGTTGTCTGCAGTGGGGTCCGGCTCCTCCTGATCTGATGATCAGGTGCACTACCCACTGAGCACGGCCCAAACAATAATTCACCATAATATTTAGAGCCAAATGATATTGTTGCTATGTGTTAAATAACCATCAGTTTTGGGGCAGGAGGGCATACATGAACTCAATATGAATGGCAGCTGAAGCTGAATATTTTATTTTGTTATATATCTTGAAGTGATTCCAACCATCTTTTTGGCTTTTTATACTCTGGAAATTATTATTTTTAAATTGGTTCATTCTAATAATATCAGTCTAGGCTTAACTTGAACTACAACTGTGTATATATTACCAGCTTTTACACAATGGAAAGCGTGCCATTAAAAAATAAATCTACACATTAGCGTAAAAAAAAAAACTTCAGCAATGTGATATTGATGTTATCTTATTAAAGGGTTTGTAGTTGTTAAGGACACTGAGCACTGATCACCTGTCTCTCTTCTCTCTGTCCCTGTCCCTGTCCCGCAGCCTCCCCTAAACTCTTCGTGGACTCGAGCAGGCCCCTGCCCCTGGCCACTATTACACTCGTCCCTCCACAGCCCCCTCACCTGCAGCTGTCCACGTCCTCAGAGAACTCACGCCGCTGGGCGTCCAGAGCAACGCTGTAAGAAACACTGTTATATTTCCTGTTATCATATGAACTGGACTCTCATGAAGTTTCAGTCTTCAGTTTCAAAATGAGCAACTATCAGAGCGCCATGACACAGCCTTTTGGCCCCATTTTTGGAATCTCTGCTTGTTAAAATGTGGAGTCTTCAAATGACGAATATGATCAAGTTAAAGAATTGCAGCCTAGTATCATGAACACATTGTCAACATGCGATATTAGGAGAAGTGTAGTAAGTTTGCAAAAACAAATGAAACTGAAAGTACTCGTGTGGGTTACTGTAGCAGGAACAACTGTCAAGACCACTCAGAGGGTACTGAGAGGTTGAAACCGTTAGACAGAGCATGTTAGTGACAACAACATGTTAGACTTCTAACTGAAACGGTAACTGTAGGGATGGCTGATCTGGACCAATAATGTACTGGGTTAAGGCAAAGTTATTCCCTTTGCTTTGTGTTTCACTTTATATCTACACACGGTTGTTTCGGCTCTTAATATACCGTTGTTTCTAATTCTGGACATTTTAGACCAGGAGTAATACCGTGTGCTAGGGCTTCACGATATTGAAAAAAACTGACATTGCGTTTTTTTTAAACTATATTTAACCGGATGGAAGGATTATTAGTAAAGGACGTCTGGATTTTAACTGGATAGTCAATCATACCTTAAGTCATGATCTAACATGTCATAATGCAATGTTGTCTTACCTCAAAATAAGAGGATCATCTGGTGAACGATAGAAGAGAAAAACCTTTTTGTTATCCAAAATAAGGTTCCAGGATGGCAGATTGTTGCTTTTCTTTTTGGAAGTAAATCTATCATTTCTCGCCGGTATTGTCCTCCTGTTCCTTGCTCATTTTTACCGGTGTTTTGATGTCTGCAAACTATGCGGAGGCGGGGCTGCTTGTTATCTTGATTCAAAGATATGATGTGATTGGTGGTTGCTGTGATTGCAGTAGCCTGAATGTTCATCACCAAGTACCCTGTACATGAGAGCCACGCAAGTTCCTTTTGTAGCAAGCAGCCAAAATAACTTAACTCATGCGCTGTTTGAGTTAATTTATCTCTACATTAATATTGCACGTCCTTTTTTAAAAATAAAATCGCTTGTCCCTGCGATGTGATATATCGCGCATATCGGGTTATCGCCATGACACGACGCCCATTATTACTCGTTCTCCCCTACCTGTGTGCCATGATTGAAAGTTCGCTCTATGTATGATTTCATTAGTTGGCTTCTTTCCATTTCCCAGTTAGGTAGCTGATGGACATATATTAGTGTCTCGATGAGCTGTCATTCATTGGATTTCTATGTGTTGGTCGTGCAGAAGGCATATCAATCCATAAGTTCCTCTCTCCTCCAGAGGGATTGTCTCTTCTCAGACACAAAATGTCTGTTATCGCTACTAAGTTTCCTGTTCCACTACTTTCGACATTTGAAAGCCCTGTATATCCAACAGAAGAGTGTTAGCAGCTGTCCGAATTATCTAAAAAGTGAATATTGCTCCACTAGGTATGAGACACAGGACTATTAGTGAGGTCACGGCACCCAAGCTTCCCATACGCTTGACCCCATGATTCAGGATATCCTACGTTATATTTGTATTTGTATTCTCGGTAATCATCAAAGGAAGACTGTAGAACTATATCTATTATGTGTCCTTTTGTGTCCCAGCTCAGTCTCAGTCTCTCTCCCCGACAATGAGAGGTAGGCGATCAGTGAACAGCTCCTTTTGACAGTCACAACTATCGTTGATCTCCCTCAGGTGTCAGTGGGCTGCCTTACCACCCAGTGAGAGCTTGAGAGAAGGCTGCTTCGGTATCAATGCCCTCAACCCCAGAGTGTAATCTGGCGTCGACGCAGTGCAGGGATTATGTCGGCTTGGTACGTAGTTTGCTCTACTGACACCAACCCTTTCCTCCCTCCATGTGCTATTCGCATGACACTACTTGCTGTTTCCTGCATCTTCAGCATCTAGGCTATACTCCTGTTCGTGCTCTCAGGTTAGTCAGGCGGCTTCGCAGGTGGGACAGTCGTTCTCTCGCATAGTCCTTACTCACTTGCAGCGATGAGAGAGTACCATGACCTTAAACTTGTGTTTAAGACATGAAACGGGGGATCGTGCCCTTCTCTCTGCCTGGATACAACACGGGTTACGTGCTCATGATGTCTCAGCTGGATAGTTGTTGTTTGCGTGATCGCTTTCATTCCAGACAATCTGTTTACTGTGCCATATGACTCACCTCTGGCGTCACACTGCAGCTAGCTCCCACGGGAGGGCCAGACTGGGGGCTATGTTTGCTAACTCCTCTTTAAAAATCGACATGTCTTTTCAACCTCACTCTCTGCGACCATAAATGAAAGGGTGTCATGGAGTTATAAGTCATTATGCTTAGAGAAGGCATACTCCTGTCTGTTGCGTCCCAGCTGGGCTTTTGTTGATGTACATTTTTGCGTCTCTATGTTATCCCATGCATGCTTTCGTGGAGAACGAAGATTATATATACATTATTAAGAACTAGCACAAAGATAAGTCTCTCAGAGTCTCCCGGCTTGTTATTGACTATTTCAATCCAATGGTTTTGTAATGGGCCTTTAAAAACTTACCTGTGCCAACATAAGCCTAATTAAGCTCTCACTGTTGTACTCTTCTATTTTCTGTGCATTATCAAAGTATTTCTACACAAAGATTGGATTGCACTGCATGCATATATAGCTAATACTAAACTTGATCGGTGGATATTTTTGCATTTTATTCCCAGTAGTGTCTATAATAGCGATCAGAGTAGCAAATCGGGTAGGATGCGTTGCTTGAGAAATAATGTTGGGTTCCCTGTTTAAACAATGTACACTAAATGTCCATTGTGCTTCTCTACTCACGATACACTGCTTCTCCGGCAGAGCCCAACAGTGTGCATCCTCACTGGTTGTTGTCGCAAAGCAGCTATTGAGACCAGTATTTGGTGCCAGTCACCACGTCACATACACAACTTGGTCCTATAATAGTGAGAAAAAAATGTGTAACAAAGCTCCAGCTGTTTCCCAGGCGCCTTATTAGTGTGATGATGTGTTGTGACTTGCGTTCAAGTGTTACATTGGACAAACGTATTGAAATGAACGTATTGGCAAGGATATCTAAACCTGGAAAACTAACAAAGCTTAAATTATATCAGACCATAACACAACCATTTCGTTAAACATAACGGTTGCTAGTCTATTTCTAATGGCTCCTATTTGCAGAGTCATTTCCTAATGGCTCTATCTGCACGAGTCATTTCTAATGGCTCTATCTGCCAGAGTCATTTCTAAATGGCTCTTATCTGCAGAGTCATCAATGGCTCTATCTGCAGAGTCATTTCTAATGGCTCTATCGCATTGAGTCCATTTCTAATGGCTCTACTGCAGAGGTCATCTCTTATGGTTACCATTTTCCAGGCCAACAACAGCTTCAAAAAAACTTATTTTCCCTCAAAGAACGAAACATAACATTGCCCTGTGCAAAAATAGGTAAAAGGTGACACAGTGTATTAGACCAATTAGTTTCAATAAAAATGTTTTTTCTTGAAAATGTGTAAAAAGTTAAATTACCATATTGGCGTTCCTATAATAAGCAAATCTAAAAATGAGTCCGTTTTCTCTTATAACAGTTCTACAAATACAACTTATTATCTATGTTATGATTTCCTGGCTGTTTTTTTTTCAAAGGGTTTTTTGTTTTGATCATTTTCTCAATGTCAAATGGTGCTCCATTTGTGTTTTATTTTTCTGAGAACGCTGTTTTTAAGTCTGAGATGTGCCTTAATTTCATGTGATTTTCAAATTCTGTTGATTTCCATCGTTGTATATTATATGTGGGACATGTTTTTTAAAACCTGACAGTAATTTATGTGAAACGCTTCGGGATGCCAGTTCCTTTCAAGGATAATTTCTGCAGGAGGTTGGTATGTATATTCTCTAGACGTTTCATAACATACTCGTTTTTTTGGCGCTCCTCTTTTATTCCGTTTAACCCTTATCAAACTGCCTTTTGCCTGGTCCTGTGTGTTTCTTCTTTGTAGTCCTCTTTTAGTAAAAAAAGATTGTTTTCCAGCGTCCTGTCCTCTTTTTTCACCCCAGTCCTAAGAACTCCAATTTTGTGTGTGTGAGGTTGATGCTTTGATCTATTGGTGTCTGGGCAATCCTCTCACCACCCTGTTTGCTTTTTGTCAGGATCATAGCTCTTCACCCCTGCGCCTACTTCTCCGACGCCTGTATGTGAAGTGAACTATTGATGTGTTTGGAATCGTTTTTTGGAACTTCTAGCCGTTGTGTTTAGCCCTGCAGGGTCAGGGAAGTGACTTGCAGATTTATTTTATCAGTTCCACCTCATAGGTTGATGACAGGAGTTGTGTTGTGTTGTCTCAGTTTGCTGCAGGGTTTCTAACCTTCACTTTTTATGAGTGAATTATTGCTAATATTTCTTCGGAATGACTGAGGGAATAAGAGTGCTAGTTTTTAATTCAAAAATAATACCTCATTATCCCTGTCTGGTTTTCTTTAATTTGACACTTTCACAATCATGCCTTCAATTACTTTTATCATGAGCAGGACTCTTAAGTCTTGACCTGAACTCGCGTGATCCTTGCGGAACATGGCAAGGCCAATCCACAAGAGGAACCTGTCTATACGGGTGTTTCGTCACGTGGGTCTCTTATATTGCTACTAGCATTGGTATCTCCGTCAGAGATGCTGTAGGGGGTAGGTACGTCCCTACTGGTGTCCCTTCCTGAGTAGAGTGGTGTTGTCTGTATGTGTGTGTCTGCAGGTGGAGGACCTGACGGCTGCCGCGCATCACCGTGGCACCACAGCCCCACGAGACCAGGAGCGATACCCGCTGACCTTAATCGGCATGGCCGCCTCGGCCCCTGCCAGGTCTAATGAGAGACACGAGCAGCAAGGGTCCAGTAACCAACACGCCCCTCTCTCCCCGCACGTTCGCTTCACCACCACCACCATTGCTAAGACACAGGGACTACCACGAGCTACCACGTACTACGACACACGACAACACACACACCACACACACTACACACACACACACACACACCTCACTCAATTAAACAACACACGAACTACAAATGTCTCCAACACTTTTTACGTGACATGACTCTACGTACGATAGATAGGTCATTTTAAGTGGATAAGTCTAGTCATGCAGAGACCAATTAGTTGATGACTGTAGAAGGATGGTAGAGTAACTCAGTTTGGGAGCGTACAAAAGTAATTGAATGCGATGATCACTTCCTTGAAACGGAGGATTTGTTCATGGAATCTTCTATTGAGGCGATGATGGACAGCAACAGAGGCTTTGTTCAAACGCCTCAAAAGAAGCTCAAAAGTAAAACACAGAATGTACAGCCCCTTCAGTGGGTCACCTTCCTGTTGTGAATAAATAATAATAATACTAATACTTAAATGGGAATTTGTAGTGCTCTCCCCTAAATACTCAAAGCGCTTTGACGTGGGAGATTTAATCATGTACAGCACAAGGGGTTCACAGGAGGCCTCACAGTGAAAAAGATCAGACTGCTCCAGAGCCCTGTGTCATGTGTGACTCCTCCCCCGATCGCCCCTCGCTTCCCTTCAGGTACGTTACTACTAATCGCTCTGCTGTACGGAGATCTCCAGTGCTCAGCGCAGAGCAGAGCCACCTCCTTTGCCTTGATAGCAGTTGCCTGGTGGAACCCCACCGCTATACTCTCACAGAACCTGCTTGACACGGATCCGCAGAAGTTTTGTCTCGTGCCGCGGCCCTGGCCACCGACCTGACTGCTCGCTGACATCGAAGGCTGCTTTGTCCATCGCCTGTGAACTTCTGTTGTAGACCCACCTAACAAACGCTCCTCTCCCCCTGCTACTGCAGGCTGCGCCCTCGCCTCGCCCTCGATACGGCACTTCCCCACAACCGCCACCCTTCGGCTCCCAGCGGAGACCTCCACCTGCGGTGGTTTCTTGGCTTGGCTCCGCAGTGTGCACGGTACCGTGACAGGCAACTTGGTCTCCAGACATACATCCATTCCTCACCAATTGTGGATCGGTCTCTGACTCTACACCATGCGTCAAGATGATGGGTTCGTATACTCTCCCCGCCCCAAGCTGCCCTCTGCTTCTGGCGCGGCACGCTGCTCGCTCCCCCCCCCGCAGGCAGTGATATCTGTCTTCCTGTGTAAGCGCTGCAACAATGTATTCTCCACATCGCGCCCATTAATAGTAGTTCTCGTAATAGAATGTGTTATTCTACTCCAAGATGTTTTCAAATCATTGTGAGATTCAAGTCGACCGGGTTTCAATAAAATTTTAAAGATGATGATTGGACAAAACAAACCCTGCAGTGGATTCCAAATGAGGTGTGGTAGTTTCCCCATGCTGTAAATGAACATGAGTATGAATGGACATAAAAGGCTGTGGATATGAGAGGATCAGGATATCACGCTATTTCGACCCAATACTATTGATGATTAAAAATATTTAACAATGTGGTTTTTTTA